CAAAATCTTGCATGGAGTTCCAGAACGAGGGCAATTGTTGTTATTTTGTATTTCTTCTATTTGCAAATAATAGCTCTAATAGTTGTCTCCTTCTCACCAAGCTTCTTGCTGATGGTCTTGTAGACCATTCCAGCCTTGTGCAGGTCTACAATATTGTCCTTGACGTCCTTTGACAGCTCCTTGGTCTTGCCCATGATGGCGAGGTGGAAGAAAGAGATTCTGTAGATAGGTGTCTTTTTATACACATATCGAGTTGTCATTAGGAGCACCTTCTTAAATTGACAGGACTAATCTGTGTATCACATGAGCACATAGCCAGTCTGTGGGAGCCAGAGTTATTGATGGTTGGTAGGGAATCAAATACTTAGTTTACTTAGCGAACTGAAACTCAATTCATAACATCTGTATAATGTTCCCTCTATTGCATGTGGTTGATCATCCCTTCCTAGCACAAATCTCCTCCCCTCTCCAAAATTATCCCCTCTAGCATTTCCTCAAATTACCCCTCCTAGCACAAATCCTCTTCCCAAATCCCCCCAGCACAAATAGCCCCTACTAGCACATCCCCCCCTAAATTTCCACTTCTAGAACAAATCTTACTCCCTGCTGACTAAAATTCCCCCTCACAGCACCAATCCCCCCCCCCCCCCCAAACTCTCCCAGCACAAATCCATCATTCCCCTCTTCCAGAAAAAAATCCCTCCTCCTAGAAAAAATCCTTTTCCCCACCCCCCTCCTAGCACAAATCCCCCCAAATCATCCCTCCTAGTACAAATCCCCCCTTCCCCTCTTCCATTACAAATCTTCCCCCCATTCCATCACCTAGCACTAACCCTCTTGTCCTTCACCCCTACTAGCACGCTCTGATCCCCAAATGCTTCTTACTCTGCTCCCCCCCATTTCCCCAGTGCAAGTCCCTCCTCCCTCTAACACACAGACCTCAGATGCAGCATATGGCAGAAGGCTGTGGTATGTCTTTCCTCCCAGGCTCCTCCTCATCTTCACATGTCAGACTTGTGAGTGAGCCTAGGTGAAGATAGTTTCTAACCCGTTGGACAGGTATCTGGCAAGGAGAGATGCCACTGCTATCCCAGTACTATGGGATTACAGCTCTGGGACACAACTGTCTCTCAGATCAGAACTTTACTGAGTTTTCTCACTCAACCCCTAGCCACATTCTTTGCTGTGAGGAGATGGGGGTGGGTGAACAAACCCTGCATTGTCCCAAGCTGACAGTTCTGGTCCAGGAGTGCTGCAGCAGCAGGAGTGTGGAGCTAGAGAAGGGTGAGAGCACAACCCGCACCTCCTTCCAGCTCTCTCCTCCTCCCAAAGACTTGTGTTGCCACTACCCACGCTAAGCTGACAGGAGTAGTGATTCTGCCGTCACTACTCCTATCAGCTTCTAGCATCAGGAACTCTCCTTGGCAACCCCCCCACCTCACATGATACCAGCACTCAGGGCAACCACCTCTTCTGCCCACCCTTTGTCCCGGCCCTGGGTTGATTACATCATTTGGTGAAGAATTGATCTCTGCAGCCAATTAACTATTATAAAACAAGTCTTTGACAGCATTCACCTTAACGTACACAACATTTTCTCTTATATTTTACAAATTTGTCAAGAAACTTATCATTCGAAAAAGGAACAGACGGGGAGGAGCCGCAACATGGTGCCGTAAGCAGCATGGCTGGAGAGCTCCAGATGCCAGCCTGCTAACATGTGTGAGGCGCCCTAGGTTGAAAGAGCTTTACCTGGATCTGGAGCAAGGTGGAGTATGCCCAAGGACCGAGCGTGTGGACCAGAGCCTCGGTGAAGCGGAGGCGCGGGGAGCTGTGTTGAAGGTGGTCCTCTGTGCTCTGTTGGCCGGCGGGGGACTGGCAGCGAGTGAGGGCAGAAGGACAAAGTGAGGAAGGGTCCTCGAGGATTTGGAGGGACCCATAGGTGCCCGGGGACTGCCTGACCGGTAAGAGTGCAGCTCCCAGGAAATGCCTGGAAGTGGGCTACGGTGAGACCAGAGTCCAGTATCCCCCTGAGGTGAAATATCCTAGGGGCCCCACTATCCCTCTCTGAAATCACAACGTATACCCACAACAGCTCTCCCAAAGCCCACTGTGGGAGAGAATAACAGTGGTCCAAAGACACAAGACCTGAAGGGGATTCTGTTTGCACTGGGGATCTCTAAGCAGATGGGACAGCAACACAAAAGCAGCACAAAGAGGAGGGTGAGTTGTAGTAAGACTGTAAAATATGTCTATGAACTGTTACTTATCTGCATCATACTAATATACTAAGTGTTTGCTCTCCGAAGAAGAAGCAATAAAATAGAGGGGTCTTGGGGACTTGTGACTCAGAGGGACCATCCATCCATAATTTCACTATATTTAAAATATACGATACGAGGAAGGGAAGGATGGGCGGGAGGGAATGGGATAGGGATGAGGAAGAAGGTCCACATTATAAACTATCTGTATCTCTTATCGTGTGAAAGAAAGCTAATAGGTCAAAATAATTACAATAGAAATTAGTTGGATTAAGTTTATGACATATAATGTGAAAGGGTTAAACTCTCCCAAAAAAAGACATAAGATACTCAGGGAAGTCCAGCAATAATCAATAGATGTAATATTTCTTTAAGAAGCCCATTTAACCCGAAATACAAATGTGAAACTATATTCAAAGTATCACCAAATGTGGTATTATGCAGATTCATCAGTAAAAGGGGCAAAAGAAGTATCAATTGGGTTTTGAAAAAATGTTGCCTTCTCCCTGTAGGACAGAATGGAAGACCTGGAGGGTCGGTTTCTGTTTATCAGGGGAAAGTTACAAGGAAGGGAAAACACATTGGCAAATATTCACTGTCCAAATAAAAACCCAGCTAAGTTCTTAGAGGGGGCGCTGAATTTAAAAAGGGGTATCTGGTTGTGGCAGAGGACTTTAATTTAGACCCTCAATGGGATGCAAAATCATGTGCAAGGAGAGAAGAGGATAGGGAATTGAAAGCTACTATATAAACATCAACTGGTGGATGTGTGGAGAGAAAGAGACTACACCTTTTACTCCCATGTTCATGGTTCATATTCAAGACTAGATTACATAATGATAGAGTATAGACAGTTGGAGACATTGATAGGCTCCAACATAGAGGTTATGTCTATCTCTGACCACTCTCCCGTTAAGATGATGTTACAAGTAGGGGGAGGCAAAGACAAAATACTCTCTTGAGGTTAAATGAAATGCTTTTACAGGACCCCGAGGTAGAGAAAAGGTTAAAACTGGAAATTGAACAATTCTTTGAGTACAATGAGACCAATTAAATATCTGCGGCAACAGTCTGGGAGACACATAAAGCTTATATTAGGGGAATACTGATCTCTATAGGAATATAAAAGAAGAAGGAACGAGGGGAAAGAATAAAGTTGGTGATGGAAGAGCTCCATAAACTTGAACAAATGCATAAAAAAAAGAACAAAATAGATATATATCAGAAGATAATATTGAAAAGAGATGAGTTAAAAGATCTGATGGAACAAGAGTCAAGGAGGATATTTAATAAGGTCTCAAAAGAAAGATACCAATGGGAGAATAGACCTGGAAAACATTTAATGAGAAGACTTAAGAACAAGAAAGCCAGAAATTTTATTGAAAAAATTAGAGACGGGAAGGGAGAAATAGCATATAATACACCTGATATTGCTAAGAGGTTTTATAAATACTGTAGTGAACATTATGGTGTGAGAGGTGGCAATCAAAGGGAAAGTGAAGAGGAGAGGAATACAATTAGACAGAAATATTTAAGGGAGGTAGATTTGCCACGATTAACACAAGAAAAATTAGAGACTCTCGAGAGTCCTATTACCACGGAGGAAATTAACTCAACCTTAAAGAACACGACTGTAGGTAAAAGCCCAGGGCCATATGGGTACACAGTGGGGTATTTTAAAAAATTCAAGGATCTTCTTGTCTCCAAAATCTGTAGATATATATGAACGCAGTAGGAGAGGGGTTGGAAATGAGGGAGGAGTCATTGCAGGCCCACATCACGCTCATTATAAAGGAAGGGAAGGATAGCTCACAATGTGCCAGTTATAGACCTATATCATTACTAAATACAGATACTAAATTATATGCGAAGGTACTGGCAATAAGACTGAAGGATCTGATGCCTGAATGGGTTCATTTGGATCAGGTGGGTTTTATACCGGGAAGAGAAGGAAGGGATAATGGCCTGATATCCTTGATTCTTGTACAAAGAGCTAAAAGAGAAAAAATACCAGCAATATTTTTGTCGATAGATGCTGAAAAGGCCTTTGATAGATTTAATTGGGGAATTATGTTTGATACATTAGAAACATTAGGAATAGGGCCTAAAATGATGAACTAGATAAAAGGATTGTATAAACACCCATCAGCAGCGGTTAAAGTTAATAGATCTCTCTCTCAGTTTTTTAGAATGTACAATGGCACTAGACAAGGATGTCACCTTTCTCCTCTATTGTTTGTTTTGTCTCTGGAACCACTCTTGGGGAGGGTAAGGAAATGTATAGATATAAGGGGGATAAAATTAGGAAAAATAGAGCTAACCCTAGAATAACGTTGCCTAATTTAATGAAACTATTAAAACAGTATGGGGAGATATCAAACTTGAAAATAAACCCTGCAAAATCAGAAATTTTAAATATAAATCTCTCAGTGTCAGAGAAGACTGGTCTACAAAAAGAATTCCCTTTTACTTGAAAGAGAAATGAAATAGGATATCTTGGAGTAAAATTAACCACCTCATTAAAAAGCAAATTACATCCCTTTAATAAATGAAATCAAGGAAGAGTTAAGAAGACTTTTAAAAGGAGGAGCTTCGTGCATCAGACGAATAAACCTGGTTAACATGGTGATACTTCCAAAAATTCTGTATATATTCCACATGCTCCCGATTTCTCTTCCAGGGTCCTTTTTTGGGATAATTAAAAAGATAATTATCATTCAGCTAGGTAAATTAACTTACTTTGCAGGGACAGTGTTACTGTGTGTCCCATTGTTCCAGCATCATTTGTAGCTATACATATATAATCACCAATGTCTTCATTCTGTGAAATAGAAATTTACTGAAAATATTAGGAATACAGTATGCATATTACAGTATATACTTTAACAAGTTAAGAAAACAAATATAAGTGAAAACTAGGAGGAAAACTGTAACATTACTTCATGGCAAGAAAATATTTTTTGGCCACTGCTGTAAAATCATTCTCCTATCAAGTTCATAGGGAAACATAGGAGGCTGAACAAAAGGAATTATTGCTCATCCGTGGAGGATATACTCACGCTCTAGATTCTAGCTCTTCAGTCCATAGCAAAGTGCAGAAAAGGAAACAGGGGACTAGCACAAATGTAAGGGGCCGGGACTAGCAAAAACGTAAGAACTAATGGGGCACAAAGTTAAAGCAGTATTAAACCCAAAACCAAAAATGTATTGTATTACAGCTTACCACTCATTAGATATTGTGGCTGCATCAGTTTTCTTTTCTTTGACTTTTTTCCCTCTGTTTTGTCTCTGATGCTTGAGCACAGGAGGCATAGCAGACAGCACTATTGTCAGTCTGGCGGGGGGGGGGGGGGGGGGGGGGGGGGTAGTGTTAAATGTATTAGAAAATTTAGTTACACTAACAAATGGAGGCCAAACTCCAGCACACACTTTACAATCACTTACAGTAAACAGGTTTTTTTTTATCTTTTGGTATAAAAGTTTTACATGACAAAATAAAAGCTGATCATTCTAATCACCCTTGCCACTGGTAAACGGATTGTCTCATCCATGTAAACGTATACATTATGTAAATAGAAGAAAGAAAGCCTACAATAGAAAACAAATGCATCCATCACATCTAAGAATTTGTAAGCTACAATATAATATTTGCTTTTGGGTTTATTACTGCTTTAGGTTAGGAAGTGATAGGCTTTACATTGTAATAAATGGTTTAATAAGATGACTTGGTTGAGCTACCAGTTTGGAGACCTCATCATCAGAAACCCTAGAAACCTTTCATGGAGACTGAAAAATAAGGGTAAAAAAGTAAGAAATATAAAAGTAAAATTAAATAAATTGAGGGAATATGCTGTGTTATACCATATACATATATAAACAGGGAATATACTGTACACCATGGGTTGTGCTGTGTCTTCTAGTAAATGGTATTCTTGTAGAACAATAGCTATGAAGGTGTGGGTAGATTGGTTGCAAGCTGACTTACTGTTGTGTTGTAAATTGCAAGAGAGCCATTAATGAACTGTTTAAATCGCCTATTGAAAAGGATTTCATTTTCTTTCCTACTCCATTGAATTATAGGGATGGGGTTTCCTTGTACTATACAATTTAGGATAATGCTTCCTCCTAGTGCTGCAGTCTGATTGGTGAGGTGAAACCCAACAAGAACAGGAGGCTCTGATGGTAAGAAAGAAATACTTGGTTAGCAAATGTAAAGAAACATATATACTGTATATATATATATATATATATATATATATATATATATATATTTATTATTATTATTTATTTATTAAATGCATAATGGGAGAGTGCTTTATTTTATTCAATACCTACCTTTTACAAAAACATTCACTGTAGCATTAATTGATGCAACAATATTTTCTGCTATGCAAGTATAGGTGCCATCATCCACTTTTGAAACCCTCTCAATTATAAGATCATTCAGATATTTAGATTGCCCAATCTGCACTGTGGGATAAATCATAGTAGAAGGAATGATCACATACTATACAATATCATTTTGCTTTTGAGTCTACATACTATACACTTTTGAAACATAGAGACAGATAATCACCATTAGGGTACCTTCACACAGAGAGATGTCTACTGCAATCAGCAGGGGATCCATGAGCGGATACCCTTCTGAATCAGAGCAGAATGGATGTCAGTTTTTTTACACACAGTTTGTGTCTGGCAAACAAAGGGATGCATGATAGCGTGATAGCGAGATAGTGTGATAGCGTAATAGCTCTGTGGGTGACTGGATGTAAATGGACTCTGCTGTCTGTTTACATCAGGCTACCTCCAATCCATCATATTTAGGTCCAGAAAAAGGAAAGAGGATCACTGATAGGCTGAGCCAGGTGCTGGTCCAGGCATCTGGGTGGATCCCAGTGATATGGTCTGGATCTTTCAGAGCCTGGACCAGCTCTGTGAAATCATCAAACAGCTGCCTTTAGTCCGCTGTTGGATGATAATGGGTCACAGGAATGCAGAACGAACTGACACGCCTGTGATCCATAGAAGTACAGCCAAAAAAAAGCTTTGGTTATACTTCTCTTTTAAATTTCTCAAATGTAACATATACAAAATTATTATCGTGTAACTAGAGAGAAAAAAAGTTTTTTTTGTTTTGGATAGGGTGGTAAGGAGATGTTACAGGAAGCATAACATTCTCCACAATTTCTCCAGACCCTGTCACATCTGTCACATGTGTTCAGGGTTAACGTGCTCTCATCTGTGAAAAGCACAGGGCGCCAGTGGCGGACCTGCCAATTCTGGTGTTCAATGGAAAATGCCAATCAAACTCTATGGTGCCGGGCAGTGAGCACAGGGCACACTTGAGGACATCAGGCCCTCAGGCCACCCTCATGTAGTCTGTTTCTGATTGTTTGGTCAGAAACATTCACACCAGTGGCCTGCTGGAGGTAATTTTGTAGGGCTCTGGCAGTGCTCATCCTGGTCCTCCTTGCACAAAGGAGCAGATAACGGTCCTGCGGATGAGTTAAGGACCTTCTATGGCCCTGTCCAGCTCTCCTAGAGTAACTGCCTGTTTCCTGGAATCTCCTCCATGCTCTTGAGACTCTGCTGGGAGACACAGCAAACCTTCTGGCAATGGCACATAATGATGTGCCATCTTGGAGGAGTTGGACTGCTTGTGCAACCTCTGTAGGGTCCAGGTATTGCCTTGTGCTACCAGTAGTGACACTGGTGAAACTCGGGAAAAACAGTCAGAAAAGGTGAGTAGGGAAAAAAAATGTCAGTGTCCTCCACCAATAAAACCATTCCTGTTTTGGAGGTTGCCGCATTGTTGTCAATCTAGTGCACCTGTTGTTAATTTCATTAACACCAAAATAGATGAAACTGATTAACAACCCCCTCTGCTACTTAACTGACCAGATCAATACGAGTAGTTTAATTGACTTGATGCTATACTCTGATTAAAAAGTGTTCCTTGAATTTTTTTGAACAGTGTATAACATGACCCAATAAAAAAGGTCATGGTCATTCTCCTAGGCTTAAAAAAAAGTTGTCATGACAGAAATATGTCAGCTGCCATTGCTAACCTCTCCAGCTGATATTGCTGGTTGCCTTGCTGTCAAAATAATGTTCTTACTTCAACACTTTCTTAAGCTCTGACCTGGAACAAGTATTCAGAAGTACTGTCTCCACTCTGTAACTACTGCATGTTGTTATGAGTTGAAAAGTCTTGAAGCTAGAGACAATAAGGCAACTAGCATTTTGAGAAGGATATAATTGATGGCAGCCTTCATTTTTCTAAATTTTCTTATATTGAGAACTGGCATCAAGATAAGGAATTCGAACATTTCTCTGACTTTTACTTGCTGTTTTCTTGCAAACAGTCAGTGACTCAGATGTATCAAAGCCATATACAGGTAGGCAATTAGCATTGTCAGCAATGGCAACCTCCATGAGTCTACTCATTATAATGTCATCACATGATGTGTGTGCATCAAAATCAAAATAGCAACTTTTTTGGCTTTTTACCATTTGCCATGGTTATAGTTTACATTCATTTATGAAAAGGTCAAATAAATTAAAATGAAATTGAAATTGTGGTGCAATTACCACTCCTCCCAATTCTGGCTGCTGGATAATCAACACAGATTCAGCCAGGACAAATTTATGTTTTACACTATCAGTTAATTAAATTATGTTTAATAATTTGACAAGATTGAGTGAAATGTTTCAATCATAGCTCCTGTTAGTTATACTTACCAGGTGTTGATTTATGCTTAAATGTCCATGTTATATGAGGGCGGGGGTTTCCTGTCGCTTTACATGTTAATCTCAGTTTTTCTCCTTTATTCAATGACAAATCTGAAGGCAATTCTGTAAAGGATGGACCATACTGGATAGTGATACTAACTGTGTGAGAATCCTTCCCAACTGTATTACTGGCAGTACAGGAATAATTACCCGTATCATGATTCTGTATAAAGTAAAAACAATTGCACTATAAGCATGTGCTTGCATTTAGAAGTATATTTCCAGCCTATGGTATGTAGATATTATTATTTTAATTTAATTCTGAATATTATGTATATTAAATAAATTACAGCTTCTGGCCGCTTACTTACTTATGTTTATAAACAAAGTGACTGGGGATTCCTTTCATCTGTACAAGACCCTTATCCTAGATGACAAAGAATATCTCACCAGCACACTAGTTAACTCCATAGAAGAGTCCAATGTGACATACCTGATGAAGGGATCCTGCATGGCTCCGAAACATTGCTATTTTCTGCTGTGATGTTTTCATTCAGTAAAGGGTTGGACCCTTTTATGGAGTTCCCTGGTGTGCTGGTGACATATTCTTTACCTTGAAGTCATTCCATTCTCCAGCAGGTGATCACTAAAGCACCCATTCATTCCTCAATAAGGGTCTGGTATGGATATCACACCATACAACCCCCCCCCACCAAAAAAAAAACAATGTAGGGCTCACCATGAAGGTCTTAGTGCCCACCACTTGCACACAAACATAAAACCCCTATGTGACTTCTCTCCACATGTGCAGTAAAACCTTTGATGCGGTGGATTGGATCTTGATGAAATCAACATTACAACATACAGACCTGGAAAAATGTGTTTACATGGATGGGTGCCATTTATTTGCCTTCTACAGTGGTGGTGAGGGCCGTTGAGGCAATATACATATATTTTCCTTAAGCAACAGAACTAGACAGGGATGCCCTTTGTCCCACCTATTTTTTGATCACTCAGATTAGAGCCCCTCCTTCGATACATTAGACAAAATATAACTGGACTAAGATCATGACCATACCTACATAAAGCGTGGCTTATGCTGAGGACCATTTTTTTGGGTCGCCAAACTTGATTTTAACTATCCAGCATAACATCTGAAAAATTAATGTCTTCCCCTGCATACTGTATATGTTTCAGGCACTAGACTAGATTTTTTTTTGTTATTAGTACAGTAAGTGCATCAGTAATTTATTTGTCTGGGCCAACTAGAATCCAATAATTTACAGATTATTGATACTGACCAAGGTCTATGGAACCATGAACTTTTTGGACCTGAATAAAAATCATTAGATGACTAACTTAGTCAGAACTCCAGACTGGTGCAGACACTCCCCCCTAAAACAAAATAGCTTTAGAACAAGAAAAAAAAATTCCCCCTTCAGAGTCTAGCATAACTTGGTCAAAATCCTTCAGTCTCCTCTCGCATTGCTAACCTAATAAGTGACATATCGGCATGGATGTCACTCCACTTTCTCAAACTCAATCTTTCCAAAACTGAGCTCATACTATTCCCTCCAGCCCATGCCCCCTCCCCTGACTTCTCCATCAAGATCAATAATACAACCATCAGTCCCTCCCCCCATGCCAGGTTACTAGACTCCCATCTGTCCTTTCAGCCCCAAATCCAATCGCTGTTCAAATCTTGTAGACTTCACCTCCGCAACAACTCCAAGATACGCCCGTTCTTAACCTCGGAAATTACTAAGCAACTTATTCACTCCCTGGTTATGTCTCGCCTTCATTGTTGTAACTCCCTCCTCATTGGCCTACCTCATCGCAGGCTATCCCCTCTTCAGTCTATCATGAATGCTGCTGCTAGACTCATCCACCTTACTAACAGTTCCATATCTGCCATCCCTCTCTGCCAATCCCTCCACTGGCTTCCCATTGCCCAACGAATAAAATTCAAAACATTAACAATAACATATAAAGCCATTTATAACTCTGCCCCAAATTACATCACCAATCTTGTCTCCAAATATCACCCAAACCGTACTCTCCGCTCCTTGCACGACCTCGTACTCTCTAGCTCCCTTGTCTCCTCCTCCCATGCTCATCTCCAGGACATCTCCAGAGCCTCCCCCATCCTCTGGAACTCTCTACCCCAATTTATCAGACTATTGCCTACTCTGCTCACTTTTACGCAATCTCTGAAAGCCTATCTATTCGGGGAAGCCTACCCTGCCCTCAGCTAATAATGGAGTCTTCTATTCCTCCTACCAGTCCATGCCCCACAGTAATTACCTATTGTACCACTAGCCCCTCCCTCTTAGATTGTAAGCTCCTAACCCTCTTGTATTGAACTGTACTGTTGTTGTATTGTCTCCCGTTATATTGTAAAGTGCTGAGCAAACTGTTGGCACTATATAAATCCTGCATAATAATAATAATCCTTCCAAATTAGTTAAAACTCATTGTACTACTGGCCCAACCTTAATAGTCTGTACGACTACAGGCTGTGTTACCCCTTTGACATGGGCTGTTTCAGAAATGACTTCTATACTGGGTGTCCCTTGTTCCTTCCTTACTTTAGCAACAACCATCTCACATTCCTCCTTAAAGCCAGTAAATGCAGACCCAAAGGACTTTTTAACCTCCATGGGTGTTGGAAATTCAAGAGATGATGGATCCCTTTGGAAACCTGGAGATCGATTATTGTTTTTTTTTTCAAAATGCTACCTGTCTCTCCAAAACAATCCCTTTTTGAAACTTTATGTATCTAGTACATTGAGGCACACACTTTCATGCAGTTATTCCTATCTCACTTCACCTCTAGAATTTTGTATCCCCACCTTACATTCTGCAGTTGTCCTTTGACTCCCAGAAAATATAGGACATTGTTTATCTTGCCTATCAGTCCTCTATAGCTAGCATTTTAAGAGTCTTACTCTGGATCGTCAATCAGTGTCTAAAATGTTTATTAAAGTGATTCAAAATGTTTTTTGTTTTTTTTAATTTAGCACTATCCCCTTAGGAGTCGCTAAAGATTTGGGTCCCCCTATAGTCCAGCACAGCCAGGCAACAGGCATTCCTCATGAACTTGCATCCAGAAGACAGTAACCACTCCTTGAGCTTGGGTTTTTCGGATTTTATTAGGGGTAAATAACTTGGATGGGGTAAGGGGTGTAAGGGATGCCCAAGGGAACTGCAGCTGGGGACAACTTCCTGGAACTATGTACAAGTCTTTACACAGCAAAATTCTCTTCTTGGAGAGCTCTCCAGGCTTTCCTGGTGTATCACCCCAGACCCCAGATAATCCTCCTCTATCCAGATGTCTGAAGGAATCCCTGGGATCCAGTGCCTGCCTCCTTAAGATGAACAGTTTCGGGCAAGGAGCTAATCCATTTTCCCACCAGAGTGCTTCTTTCCCTTTAACTGGCTCAGGGTGTGTAGGATTACTCACTCAGTCCTGTTCCTATGAGCTGAGGTTGGTAGCTGCTACACAGGTGGTCCTCACTCTGGGGGCCGATGAGGTCTGAGTTTTCCTCCTCTCAAGCACCACTGCCTGGAGGTGAGCTCCTTCTCAATCGGGCCCCCTCCCAGGCTCCTGCACCTCAGGCTTCTCACTCCATCTTCCATCTGAACGCTCCTGCTGCTGAGCAGGCTGTCTGACCCCATGCCAAACCTCTGGCATGGGGATTGGTCAGAGTCCTTTAAGTGTGCAAGCCAGCCCCTCTTCACCCCCACCCACTGCTTCTTGAATCTTCTCCAAGATTCTAGCGCATGAAGAGGTGTCAAGGAACTGACCTGCAGAGACTCTCAGCCCTGACCTAAATAACCCTTCTGTCTCAGCCCAGGCTGCTAGTCAGCCTTCATAGCTGATAAAAACTGATCTACCTCAGCCTAGCTACGCAGGAGGGTGCTACATAAATGATAGATATGTTATACTTACCTGCTCTGTACAGTGGTTTTGGACAGAGAATCCCCGATGCTTTTCTTCTCGGGTTCCCCACCGGAGCTCCTGGCTCCTCCCCCTTGACCAGTGATATACTAATTAGAGTTCTCCCTATGCAGAGGAATTAACCATGAACATGGAAATGTTGAAATGTTGGACCAAATACAGAGAGTGAGAAAGATTAGAATTTCTGACAATGTTTGCTGTTTTTTATCCCAAATTTCTTGTCCAGGGGTCAAAGGGACAAGAAGTGAATTTGTTTTAGGGAATTATGTAATAAGGAGACCTTTGTGCCTTGCTTATGATCTCAGTATTGGAAACAACACAGGATAGAATGAGAATAGATGTTTCAATAAATATACAGTGTTTGAATAAAGCATGTGATACTTGTTTAAATGCTGCAAAAAGTTTAAATGAAAATACTCTTACCTCTGCTTGGTGCAAAATTAAATCCCCAGATTTCGTCAATGCATATTTTTCACCCTTATCTGTTATTGGAACATTGTTTTTTGTCCAGGCTATAGCTGGGGTAGGAATTCCATATGTCTTACAAGGAATAATAACTGGAAAACTTTGGATCACAAATAATTCTTTAATTTTCTTTAGAATCTGAGGAGGAACTAAGAATGAGACAGGGAAAATGCAAGGAAGAAACATAAACAATCTTAAAATATACATGAACAAAGAATTGTGCAATTCAATTACTGAACCAGAGAATAAATGGCCAGAGCCTCTTAATGTATTCTTTTGGGGTTAAAATCAAAATTTCTTTCTATGCTATGTACATATTCATTGTGATGCAAACACAGCAACACTTTGACAGGAACTGAAAAGATAATGTTCTGAGTGGAACTGGATGCTTAACTTGCAGTTTTAATCAATGTATATAAAGTTTAAAAAGGAAGAAATTTACAAAAGGGCATTAACAGGTTGATTTACTAAGGCCTGGTTCACACCTATGCGTCTTGCAATCTGCTGCTGGAAAAAAAGCCCCTGACCCTTTCCAAAAACTCAGTGGCTGAAAACACATAGATGTGAATGTGTCCCACAGGAAACCATGTTAAATGGACTGTAGTGAGTTTCTGCAAAATGCAAAAAGCACTAAAAATGCATAGGTGTGAACCAAGCCTAAGGCTGGAGAGTTCAACATCTGGTGCAGCTCTACATAGAAACAAATCAGCTTTCGTTTTTTTTTGTCAAAGTCTAATTAAACAGGCTGA